CAGCACACGATTAGACAAATAAAACAGTTTTAACAGTGAAAGCTCGAGATTTTTCAAACCAATTCTTGATATTAATTTACCAAACATCGTAGTGACTAAAGTTTTGAGCTGAAAGGATAGATAATTTTTATTGAGTAAACTTATAACTGCTTTCAAGTATAGAAAGTTATATTATTCTACGAATGTTCACACTTACAAAATGTGTCGTATAAACTTTCAATACAAAATTAATGTGCGATCTCTTTATAGGTCTGATTTAGTTGAAGTTCCAAAATCAACTGATTACTTACTCCTTTTTAATTAAGAAATGTCCATTGGTTTTTTAATGACACATCATTAAATTTTCAAGTTCCCATACACGCTTTAGTATCATTAAATAAGATGTAGGGAATTGAGTCACGGTTTTATGAGTAAACGCATGAATAACGAGTAATAAAAATAAGATAATCGCCTCAAATCAGCTGCGTAATAGTCTGCCACTCCTCTAAATTATTCACTCCATTTTGAAACCGACTATGAAATCGTGAATCTCATTATTTAAGCAGATGGATGGATAAATAATTTGTTATGTGGTTTAATAAGCAAAAAGTATTTCGAGGTCATGAAAAAAAATTTTAACTCTTCAATCTAATTTCATTGCATGACTTTTGTGTATACTAGTAAGTACAGTGGAAGAATGACGGTGATCACTGTATTATAATTTTAATTATAATGTCGCTTAATAATTATGTCACTTTTTAGTATATTTTTTATCATACATAGGATATAAGCATTTTTATTTGTAGATCATATGTAATAGAACCCAATTGACCGATTTTAATAAAATACTAACACTTGAAAACGAAATTTTAGTTGAATTGAATATTGTTATTGTTATTTTCATTTTATTGATTTTCAAAAATTTTTGTTTTAAAATATATATTAGGATAGAAACCCTTACAAATCATGAAATTTTTTTCGACCAAATGTATCCAGATGAAGTTTTAAAAAATAAGTATGTGGGTGCATAATAGTTTATGGATTAAGGTAAATTATCCAGTAGTTGGACACACTTAATAAACAAAGAAAAAATTAATATCAAAGAAAAATCATCAAGACCCAGTATCTGGACACTAGTGTCCAGGTACTGGGACCAACATGAGACTTGGGACCAGTAGTTGGATACCCCATGTTAATTAAATGAAAAGGAGGTTAGGGTGGACCTAATTTCAAAATGCTTTCTCACATCTCTCAACTACTCAATGATTATAATTTTTTTCACTACATGGTATAGTTTCTGGTCATCATTCAACTTTTTTTAATTTTCAATAGTAACATTTCCATGTTATATTTAGTCACAATCAATAATTTTAAGTGTGTTTTACTGTCCAAGTACCAGGTATAGGAAAAATCTTATGTTATCGAATGAAAGGTATTCTTGGAAAGAGTTATTTATATTTTTCGATGTGTTTAACTCTGATGAACTCAATAAAAATTATAATAATATACATTTTGCAACTTAACTTTAGTTAGAAAATAACTTAAAAGTTCTATGTCCAACTATAAACTATAATTTTTAGCGATTTTTTCCGTGTCCAAGTCCTGAGTGTAGGAACACTCCTATTTTATTCAAGGGATCTATTATTGGACAGCAAGCTTACATGCTTCGCACTTAAATAGTACATTATGTGACGAGTGCGCGAGGAACGCGATTCACGCACTGTTTTAAAAATAACTTTAGTCAACAAAAAAAAAAATTATCAAAGAAAAGATAAAGGAAGCTTTGTACCAATGAATTCCTGCGATTTTTTAAAAATTGAAATTATCTAATCGATACAAAAGTACTGAGATGAAAAATTCTAAGCTCTGAATTTATACAAATTAACGATTTTTTTTTTTTTTTTTTTTTTTTAATAACGCCTATTCAAATGATCGAAAATTACAATAAAAAATAAAAAAAAACAATTGGATTGTAAAAAGAAAATTATTATATTTTCGAGATGAGTAACGTATGCTTAGCTATTCTTCTCTTATTTGCTGCTACTTCCTCACGCGCCCTAAAAAATTATGCAATGTAATCTTTAATTTCATTATAATTCTGAGCAGTAACTTCTACTCTATTAGTGTGTAGTGAGTATATTGTTGAAGTCGCATGAGTACACAGCGATGCTTTACACGAGCCTAACTTACTAACTGCAACATGTACAGCTTCGTTGACAATAGAACATACAATGCTACTTTTCAACCTGTACTTCTTGCGTCTACTAACTCATGCCTTGCAACCGTCCTTGTAAAAGCGTGACAAATATTTTTAAGTAACAGTTTAAATGGAATCCTTGTCCGCGTTATACGATAGGCGACGTTACAGATGTAGAAAAATTTTATTCACCACTTCCAGCCCCACTTAATGACATGACGATCATTTCCCTTCCTTTTTTGGAACTGTAAATACAATCTGTATACATATTACGTTTGCTACTTCTTCACTTTAACTTAAGACCACACGAATTTTCTTAACGATTATTGTTCAATTATCCGAATTTTTTCTTGCAATACAAAAAAGAGATGATTCTATCCATCATTACCAATCGTATTTTTTGTTAACACATTTTTTAGCACAACTATTAAAGTGCCACAAAATTATTGCGCTGTTACAATTGACAGAGAAAACAACTGACAGAAAATATTAGCAACTAGCCTCCCCCCTTGAAAAATACATGCCTAATATTTTTTGATAATCGACCTAATAGATTTAATACTTTTTTTTTGGTATCATTCTTTATTTTGATGTAATTAAAAAAAACCGATTTCCTTACATCTCAGTTCCATAATATTGTAATGCAACTTTTTTTTTAATTCTTTTTTTTCAGGCAATGGAAATTCAGTCGGATGCAATAAATTATATTTCATAATTGGTTGAAATAAATGTGCTAAAATTTTTATATCAGTTTATTTTGAAAATTTTATTTTCCGCCCTCGGGTGGTTTTGGGAGGCTGGTACTTCCTCAGAATAGTAAAAAGTATATATTGCAATACTACCACGTCTATTATGATTAGATGAAATTGTCTTATCGAAAAAAACATTAATATCGTTAAATCGTCAGATAGAATATAAATATACAATAATACATATATCATATACTTGAAGAGCATGAAAAAAATATATTTTATGTCTTGTAATATTAATGCATTAAAATTTATTTTATTTTTTAACTCTCCTACTGACTCTTTAACCGAATTAAGTTTTGTGAATATAACTATGCCTGATTTTTGTTGAATAATTGTTTGAATCAAAATTAAATTCACTATCATAAATGTAAGCATATTATAAATATACGTGTACATTCTGGCGACCGCATTCTCAGTGGCTTTCGAAACGTTGAGAAACACTTTTAAAAAATCTCGTAAAAAAAGAAATTGTAGTATGATTAGGAATATTAATAAACAAACATTGTAAGCTATTCCTACATAAGAGTAACTAAACGACCAGCGTTTAAAACTATTATTTTCAATTTTTGTCTCCTGAAAATTCATAGTTAAGCACCCCAGCACACGATTAGACAAATAAAACAGTTTTAACAGTGAAAGCTCGAGATTTTTCAAACCAATTCTTGATATTAATTTACCAAACATCGTAGTGACTAAAGTTTTGAGCTGAAAGGATAGATAATTTTTATTGAGTAAACTTATAACTGCTTTCAAGTATAGAAAGTTATATTATTCTACGAATGTTCACACTTACAAAATGTGTCGTATAAACTTTCAATACAAAATTAATGTGCGATCTCTTTATAGGTCTGATTTAGTTGAAGTTCCAAAATCAACTGATTACTTACTCCTTTTTAATTAAGAAATGTCCATTGGTTTTTTAATGACACATCATTAAATTTTCAAGTTCCCATACACGCTTTAGTATCATTAAATAAGATGTAGGGAATTGAGTCACGGTTTTATGAGTAAACGCATGAATAACGAGTAATAAAAATAAGATAATCGCCTCAAATCAGCTGCGTAATAGTCTGCCACTCCTCTAAATTATTCACTCCATTTTGAAACCGACTATGAAATCGTGAATCTCATTATTTAAGCAGATGGATGGATAAATAATTTGTTATGTGGTTTAATAAGCAAAAAGTATTTCGAGGTCATGAAAAAAAATTTTAACTCTTCAATCTAATTTCATTGCATGACTTTTGTGTATACTAGTAAGTACAGTGGAAGAATGACGGTGATCACTGTATTATAATTTTAATTATAATGTCGCTTAATAATTATGTCACTTTTTAGTATATTTTTTATCATACATAGGATATAAGCATTTTTATTTGTAGATCATATGTAATAGAACCCAATTGACCGATTTTAATAAAATACTAACACTTGAAAACGAAATTTTAGTTGAATTGAATATTGTTATTGTTATTTTCATNTACTGTAAAATGAAATATGAAAAATGATTTTATTCCGTCATTAAATTATCTATAAACCATTATTATGAAAAACTAGCAATAATTTAAAGAAATTTTAATCAGTTGCTCAAAAATGTTATATTATTTGATAATAAATAGTACGTATAATCAATTATAAAATCTGTATAACACGTAATATCAGTTTTTATTTTTTTCTTTACGTGCCAACAAGTTATCGTTTCTTGCAAAAATATAAGAAATAAAAATAAGTAATGACAATTAATAATCACAGTTAATAAATTCGATTCTCACTCTAAAATGTAGCTTTTATTATTTCTAATAATCAGTTCTAACCACTTATTATAATTCACTAAGATAGTTAAGTAAGAGAGGCTTAAACTATAAAAATGCAAATTTTGATATCAAACCAAATTATTAATTTTCCCCTTGTGAATAAAATACACGGCAAATCTCACCAGTTGCATTAATAGAAAAAAAAAAAAAAAAAAAAAAATTAACGATAATTCTGTGGTGTAAGCAAATCGACCTTCCAATATGCATTATCCGAGAAATGCATGAAACAAAAACTCCAACGAAAGAGAAAAGCGTAACCTACTTCTCCTTGACGAGCCGGATAACCGTATCCACCGCGTCCCTCTTGAGCAGCGTGACGGTGCAACCACCGAATCCAGCGCCCGTTAGCCGACTGCCGAGGACACCGTCGACTCCTCGGGCTATCGACACCAGAGTGTCCAGCTCTTTCGAGGACACCTCGTAGTCGTCGCGCAGCGAGTCGTGGCTCTCGTTCATCAACCGCCCGAAGCGCTCGAGCTCGTTGTTCTCGAGGCTCTGCGCTGCCTCGAGCGCGCGCTTTATCTCCGAGATGACGTGACGTGCTCGCTTGACCGTCACCTCGCTCGCGTTCTTCGACCTCAGCACTGCACGGAACAAACAAATTTTATTTGTTAATTCAACACGCGCTGTTCCCACCTTGAGTAGATGGATGTGTGTACCATCGAGATCCTGCAGGTCAGCTTCGCGCAGGCTTTTCTTGCCGAGGAGGTTGGCGGCCTCGTGGCAGGAGTCGCGGCGCTCGCAGTACGCGCTTGAGCTGAGCTTGTGCGGCGCATTGGAGTTCGTGATGAGGAAGACCTTGTCGCCGAGGTGTTGCATCGGTATCTGCTTGGCGCTGAGGTCCCGGCAATCGAGGAGGAGCGCGTGGCCCTCGAGGCCCATCGCTGATATCAGCTGGTCCATTATGCCACATGGCACGCCCGCGTACTCGTGCTCGGCTTTCTGGCATGCCAGCGCCTGTGATCGCGAATACCATGGATTGATTGTTTGTTTTTACTTCATGCGATATGTAATATTTCGACATCTGGAGTGTGGAAATAATGGACACGGTTACCCAATGTAATGGCTCTTTAAAATGGTGCTTTAATCTTTGACTTTTTTTGTACAAGATTTAAAAAATACAATTGAACTTATTTGACCATCTTTTTAGTCTCCTAAATTAAAAATTTACGGATTTTTATCGCAAAACAAATTATTTTTGTTTTCATAAATGCTGCTTTACTAACAACAGCTATGGATGTATAGATAAACTTTTTATTAGCTAAAGTGCCCAGAGTATATTAAAAAACAAGGGGTTGCAATAAAATAATAACCTAAACCACTTTGAGACTACATTAAATGATGTTTACAGATTATTTCAAAATTATGACAACACTGAAATTATTCGTTTTTCATGTTGTTTTATTATTATTATAAATTGCCATTTTCTCTTTTTTCGATGGTTAAACAAATAATATCTTGGAAAGTATTAACTTTGAAGTAGAATTGCTAGAGATTTTCGTTTGATGTCCAAAGAACATGGAAAAATTTTTTCAGGAATCATAAACAATTTTTGAAATTTGTTAAAAAAATTTGTTTTAAAATTTTTGGATAAACTTTTAGATCTGACATCATGCGTATTTATTTTCAGGGGATCATTTCACACGAGAAACTGAATCTAAATTTTTTTTTTCAACTAACTTGAAGTTACGGCCTGGACTTTGTAGTTTTCCTCGAAATTCTATATTTTCAAGTCGATTCCTCAAGATGAACGATAGATTCCGTATTTTCGTACAATAATTTCGAGATTTTTTTTCAAACTTTAAAAAGTATTTTTTCAATCTGATATTAAAATAATTAAGCGTTTGCTCAAGAGTCTTAAGAATGTCGATTAATTATTTTTGTAAACAAATGATTAAAGTATTGTTTTCAGGAACTCTTCGAGTGCAATATTTTTTATTTCAGATTTAATGATATATATTTCGTAAAACATTAAAAAAGTATTTGTTTTTTGTTTTGTTTCATACCACCATATCTTATTTATCCCTCATTCCCTCCATTTTCTGAAAAAAATTATATCATGATTTAATTGCAGGTTTTATAATTTAGTAAACAGTGTACTAGCCTGATGGCCTATTGCGATACTGATATCTTGTTTTCGTAACTCGTCATTCATTCGATTACTAATAAAACCGAGACGCGCTTTACTGCGTATTGTAGTTTGTTACTAAAGCATGGATGGAGTTAAAAAATGTAAGTATTATGGCGTAGTAAAAAAATCAATGCACAAATTTTAATACTAATGGTACTTCATGGATTTTTTATATTATTTTTCGTAACCCGTCTTTTTTTGTAACTACAAGCGAGACATACCTGTATAGGAATTACACAATAATTTAGTATTTGAATTTTAACTACATTGATTAATTGACTGTTATTTATTGAAGTTAACATCCGTAAATGAGTATAATTATTAATTATAAAAAAAAATGAAAATCAACTACATATGTTTTCTGACTAATACCTACATGGCTACGATTTTTGGTAAATTAATATCGAAAATAGGAACGATAAATCTTAAGCTTTCATTGTTTAAACTATTTTACTTGCATAATCAGATTCTTCGGTCCATCGCTATAAATTTTAACAAGATCATACTATTAATCATAGGTACTACAATATTTTTACCTTCGAGATTTCTTAAAGATCTTTTTTCAAGTTACTTTAGCTACAAATAATGCGGTATCTCGAGTTTACACTTACATTTATCATGCTTTTACTTTTAAAGCAGTAAATTTTCATTTGATTCGAACTATTATTAAACAAAAAGAAGCCATAATTATTTTTACAAAATTTTATTCAGTAAAAAGGGTCATTAGGAGAATGAAAAAAGTAAGATAAAAAATAAAGCATTAATATCAAAAGACGTAAAGTAAAATAAAATAAAAAACGTTGTTTTTATGTTTTTTAAATATATTTTACATGGAGCCATGCTGATTCATTTAATACTGAGTCACAACTCAAGGATTCCAGTATTTTTTTCAACAAGACTACTTCATCTCATGATAATAGATGTGACAGTGTTGCAACATGTTCTTTTTACTTTTCTGATTAGAATCTTGTTCAAAGTTATTTGTCACCATTTGAAAAACATTTATACTAAGCCTCTTACCGTGACAGATATCAATTCATTCATTAGTGTCAGTGGAGAAAAAAAATTGAAGGTTTTATTAAAACTACAAGGAATCTACATGTCACTAGCCTCGAAGGGTGCATGATGTGCGCCAAAGGTTAGTTTGACATCTAATCTTATACAACTAACTTCAGCACATTTTATAAAATCTCAGGTTCAATTCGATGTAATTGAACTTTCAATTCGATACTAATCGCTATGTCCTTTTTATGATAGGATTAATTAAAATAATCAAAAATGTATCAAATTTTTATTCGCTGCCAATGTTTGTATTTTAAGTTCAAAGTTATTTTTTGGACATTAGATGGACCTGTTGGCCAGTAGGTTGGAAATTTTGTTTCATCTAAAAAAATTTCACGATTGCTACCATACGTTTTTAACACGAATATTTATATCTAGTTAGTATGGATAAATTGAGTCCAAGTATCAATAATTTATAATGGTAGTTTTCGTCGGATAAGTGCCATGGTCTCTGGGGCTATATTGCGGCCTGAGGGACGTAAGGTAGCCGCGGAGCGATGGCACTTATGTGGCGAATCCTATTTTTCCTATCGATGGCACACCCGACCTTTAAAAACGCCCGAGGTCGGAAAAATACTTTTTCTAATAGATTAAAAATGTTACACAATATTTTTTGGTTTTCTTTGTCAAAAAATACAAAATACGTTGTAGAGTTATATAACCCGTGAATTATACGCATGAAGAAAATGTTATTGGTACACAAGTGTAGAAAATTAAAAAAGGAAGACAGTCATTTTTGTCTTATTGTAAGCGAATAAAAGTTTGACTCGACTCACTTCACCTTATTATTTTCTTGTACTAAGTCAGGATTGAAAGCATCACATGCGTTGACGTTACAAATTGCCAAAAAATTTTCGAAGGCCGCGGTTGTTGTAAGTGTGTGCCCGAGTCACGTGTATTGTTTTTCTTACCAAGTGCGCAAAGTGCAATTTTTCACTTGCGGGTACACTATGCGCCCATTAAATCACTTTCTGTCCGTGGGCACAAAAAGACAACAAGGGTACGAAGTGGCAGTTGCACTTTGTGCCCATGGTAAGAAATGTAAATTTAAGCTTGTAAAGCTGCATTACTAAGGTAAAGTACCCAGTAGTTAGACACTTTTGACAGTCGAAATTTTCTTTGCTGATTTATAAAAAACTAACAAAAAATGATGTTCAAAAAAACATTTCATTCATTATTTAAAATTTTTTTTTATTTATTAGAAAAAAAATTTTAATTATCAGCTTAATAAACAAAGAAAAAATTAATATCAAAGAAAAATCATAAAGACCCAGTATCTGGACATAGTGTCCAGGTACTGGGACCAACATGAGACTTTGGACTAGTAGTTTTATACCCTATGTCAATTAAATGGAAAAGAGGTTTATAGGGTGGACCTAATTTCAAAATGCTTTCTCACATCTCTCAACTACTCAATGATTATAATTTTTTTCACTACATGGTATAGTTTCTGGTCATCATTCAACTTTATTTTAGTTTTTAACAGTAACATTAACATGTTATATTTAGTAATAATCAATAATTTTAAGTGTTTTTTACTGTCCAAGTACCAGGTATAGGAAAAATCTTGTGTTATCGAATGGAACCTACTCTTGGACAGAGTTATTCATATTTTTCGATGTGTTTAACTCTGATAAACTCAATAAAAATTATGATAATATACATTTTGCAACTTAAATTTAGTTAGAAAATAACTTGAACGTTCTGTGCCGAACTATAAATTATAATTTTTAGCGATTTTTTCCGTGTCCAAGTACTGAGTATAGGAACACTCCTATGTTATTAAAGGGATCTATTTTTGGACAGCAATATCACATGCTTCGCATTTGAAAAATATTTTTTTTTACGTAAAAACGAAAAAGAGTTTTAAAGATAAATTTTTTCATCAGGCATTATTAGGGATTGATGGATTATAAATAAATTTTTTTTTTCCTATTTGAAAACGTCTTCTATTCGAAAATGTTAATTATATTGGACTGTCCAACTACTGGTGCTATTTTTATTTCTATCTAACTAAGTACTGGGTACTTTACCTTATTAGATTTTGTAAAACCTGACAATTATGGATTAAAGAGGAGAAAATCAAGAAACAATTCCAAAATCACATTGTAAGTCTAAGTAAATTCAAAAAAAAAAAAAAAAAGGAAAAAAAATTAGAAAAAACAATACAATAAATTACTACTTTACCTTGTCTTCTGGTCTTGTTGAAGTTTCACCCGTCATGCATTCTAAGAATGTGTATGTAGCCACTTCTAATGCAGCGGAACTACTGAGGCCAGCACCGACGGGAACTGTCGAAACAACCACAGCATTGAATCCTGGAATTGGCTCTGGAAAGATGATACATTTAATAGATTATTATTGGCACTCGATTCATACAGTCCATTTGATTGAAACATTCACAACGTCCTCTGGTTGTATCCCTTTCATTAAATTTCTACATAAATTTCCTTTCCAGATATCATAAAATAAAGAGTGCTTTAATGATCGCGAAACTTGATACATCGTGTGTGACATGGACATTAGTTTGAGCATATAACGGTTGAATTGTAATTATGCCTTACTATTAAAATTAATAATTTTGATTATTATGAGCGCCCTCCATTGCAGACAATAAATTTATGAACAAATCCCTAGTTTGTTCCCATCAATTTCACCATAATAATGAATTTGATTAAGACAACCCCGCAAACACATTTTCTCAAGATTTCTTGTAGATATCTTGTAAACTTTCAATCTCTATTTTAAAGACAATTTTGAGGTTCGAAAAAATTCACCTTCAAAGACGTCTTTTAGATGGACATTAGAAGTCTCCGAAATTCTAGATCGAGATCAACCTAGTTGTAGGAGATGACTTATCTCGGAGATGATATACAGAAAACAAGATGAGCACAACACGAACAAGAAAAAGATATTTTTACTTCCTGTATATACGTACCATATCCATTACTAAGAAAGTTCGAACACCTGAGGTTTGGTTCATTTATCTATTTCTGTTTTGATTCTCATTCATGCATAGCCCAGGTAAGAAAACAACATGCCTTGAATTGTCAACACACTAAAAGCTTTTGTTCATTAACAAATTTAAGGAAATTTTTGCTTTTTCGAAATACCTAAAACTTGCATGAACTATACAAAAAAAATATATTTATTGCTCTAAAAATTAAAAACTGGAGGTCTTTTTGAATTATTATGTGCAACAGTTTCTAAAAGTTTCTGGCTTCCAGGTATTTTCGTTTCCAAGATATTTAAAATCGAAAAAAAAGTACTTTTGTAACTTAAAACACAATTTGTTAATAGAGAAGCGGCTTTGACCATCATCATTCTTTCATGGGGTACAAGTGAGGTTTGACGAAACAGGAAGGAAAAAATAACATTACTTGAAAAATTAGCGATGCAGCCCTTAACGTAGTTTGCCCATTTGGGCTCACCAGGCTTCATTGTCTCACGACTGCTGCAATCGAATTCCGCCGTGCTTTGGGTGCCAATGGCCTCACACAGTGACACGATCTTGCAGCTTTTTGTATTGTCGTTTGGCCTGCCGGCAATCACTGTGACCACTGGCAGCGCCTGTAACATTTATAGGTACCTACAGTTAATTGAAGTATTTTTTGCAAAGATAGACTAGTCTAAAAGGGCAGTTTTTTTAATACAATCAAAAGGACACAGGGTTCTTCTCGGGGTTCTTTGCACAATGGTTTAGAAAATTGGCTGGGTATTATAACGGATTCGTTTTTGACAGAAATTTGTACAAAAATAACTTAGGAAAAATGTATGATAAATTAAAAAAGGAGCTATTGGTTGACTTGGGGATTAGCATACTGGCTGGGGAATCAACACAGTTTAACGGGTTGTTGGCTCGATTCCTGATCAAGAACACTCGAATTCTTTTTCAAAAATTCTTACAAGGAATAGAATTTGCCATATCAATTTAGAATAAGATTTGATTTTGAGAAACTATGTATTTTAAACGTTAATGTTAGGATATATGTACTAAATTTGTAGTAAATCTAAAAGTCTTTTTTTTTCTTTTTTTTTTGTTGTAAGTAGCTTATTGTTCTTTTCTTACAAATAATGAAAAATTAAAATACTGAAATGTTGCAATGGGTTAGGCATATCAATCTATACTCAACTTTTCGGAATTGTAACCTTAAGTAAATTAGTCATTTATGAGAAGTCGTAGGCGGAAAAAAATTTTCTGTTCTTATCAATTTGGTATCTAAAAAATTCTAAAGCATGTTGAATTCAGAACGATCCAGAAAAACATAAGGTAAATATCACTCAATTTTTCCGTTATTTTAACCTAACGAAATTTCGGTCTAGCCCCTCCCCAAATCATTCAAATACTTGCCACAGCCTCTCCCTCTCATTTCGATAAGCCTCCCCACACCCCCCTATAATTTGTCTCTTTTATTAATTTATAAATCGCTGCTGGATAAAGATGTGACTCCTATTTTTTCCACTATCTATATGGCAAATATCAAAAACTATTTTTTCTTCGAGTGATTATAAAAATTGCTTAGCGTTCAAACCCACTTCAAGTAATGGAAATATTCTTGACACAATACGTTTACCTAATTTACTATACAAAACATACTATTTATATTGAAAGTTTAACTGTAGTATTTAATAAGCATTTTAATGATAAATATAAAAGTCCTAATAACCATAACCAGAGTATACAAAACATACAGAGCAATATAAACATGTGAATTCCCTTGTAACCCATTTAATTTTTTACTAAAATAAATAATAACATAAAACTAATAACAAATAAGAAAGTCAAAATTGAGACTATAATAATATTTTTCTTCTTAATAATTATAATCAGTTAATATTTTATTATTTCTTACTGTAAAATGAAATATGAAAAATGATTTTATTCCGTCATTAAATTATCTATAAACCATTATTATGAAAAACTAGCAATAATTTAAAGAAATTTTAATCAGTTGCTCAAAAATGTTATATTATTTGATAATAAATAGTACGTATAATCAATTATAAAATCTGTATAACACGTAATATCAGTTTTTATTTTTTTCTTTACGTGCCAACAAGTTATCGTTTCTTGCAAAAATATAAGAAATAAAAATAAGTAATGACAATTAATAATCACAGTTAATAAATTCGATTCTCACTCTAAAATGTAGCTTTTATTATTTCTAATAATCAGTTCTAACCACTTATTATAATTNTATATAATTGTTTAGTTATTATAAGCTTTGGGAGTTGACTATGTTGTTTCATACCTGTACCTCACATCATGAGTGATGAAATGATAAAATGAAAAAACAATTGTTTGAAACGGAAATAAAAAATAGTTGTTTGAAACGGAATCGACTCCTAAATTAATAGAAAGACAAATTTATGTCTGTTACGTCTATTATTACTATACTATACGCAATGTCTTATGAATTATTTCAATAGACAATTTTAAAATTATATCAGGAAGTGTTTGTAAAATTCAACTTAACTCAGATGTTCTTGAAAAAAATCAAACGTTACAAAAGAACCAACAATAAACCGGCACTTTCTTGGCGTAAAAATTTTTGCTTATCTCAGTATTGGGAGAAAGTTATGGGCTGCTGTAAGGGATTTTGTTTTTAAATTTAATGAATATTATAAATTAATTAGGTTAATTATACCCCATGTGAATGGATAAATGTTCTATGCAAGTAGAATGAAGTAGCCGAATAAAAAAATAGATTTAGTTACCACAGAAATACCTACAAAATCTGTGTAGCAAATGAAAATCCTTGAAGCCTGATATGGATACCCACATTTTAGATGAAACTTAGAAAAGTAAAATGAGGAGTAACGAAACTAGCCGTACGTTAAAGACTCTGCCCTAAAACTTATCCTAAAAATCATAACATTAATAATGATTGTAATCATAATTTTAGTTTTTAACATATTAATAAACAGCTCTGTAAAATTTGAAGTTAAAATAAACATTATTCCCAAGTCCGCTGTACAGCCACTGCACAATACAATCCATAAGTAAAAAGAATTCTAATTGATGAAAAAGTATATAGATAATGAGAATATTCTAGTATTTGGAACATCAGGTTCTGCTATCGTTCCAGTCATTGAAAAAAAAAGTAAGCGAAGCTTTGAATTCCATTCACGCTTCAGGCATAAAATGTTAATATTAGTACCAAGAGCCCACATGATAATCTACGTAGCATTACAAATGATTTTTTAATGGCATTTTTAACCTGTTTTCGATCGTGTTTCCGTATGTAGTTAGCCTAACGTCGTTACACATATTACTCAGAAAGAAACCACGTGAGCATGTGCATATGAATTTGTTTTCATATACATGAGTAGATTTTTTTTTAATCGATGGATACGCCGGCTATTCGTGATTCTTCCCACCTTTTTGTTCGATACAACTACGAAGTGATACGATAAGTGACGAGTACATCACGAGTGACAGTACCCTCTCTCCATTTCCTTATTGTCTTTTCTAGTTGTGTTTCTTCTGCCACTAGTACCAGTAAAAATAGGAACTCGACTGTTTCGTGAGGTCGACAGTGCCCGGAAGAACACATCAAATAGCTTCAATTCAAAGTTATCTGTGAAGTTTAATTTAATTAAAAATTGTAATAAATAGAATCCGCTTCACAATGGCAAGCAACAGTTCTAATTCACGGATTGTGTACACTTATGAGAATCCTATGTACAAGTATGCAAGTACCTCACAAATGAACCAAGACACTAGATATGGCACGTTCTCCAACAGCTCAAGTTCTTCTACGTCCACGCGAACTGCAAATGTACCTAGAAACTCTTTTGGAACGAATTTCTCGAATGTCAAGGATTTTGTCTTCAAATTATGTTGTTCTAAGAAATAACAATGAGTGTCTTGAAACAATTAAAATCAAAGATGCATCTAACTAATAAGACTAGATTTTTTAATAAATTTGGAAAAATTTTACGATACAAATAAAATCGAATATCCGTCAATGTAAGTGTTCATTTATTAATCTATATAATCCTCCTCATCATTGCTCCTCCAAAGAATTCGACATTGTATCGATCACCTTTTATTTTTTTCAGTATTTTAAATTTACATCATGTCTACAAGTTCTTCTAAACTGCTAATATTAAATCATTTACCGTGTAAAAAAAACCATGACTCCAGTAAGGATTTCACAGTTTCTAATTTAATTTACTAGTGATCAAACATTATTAAAAATGATAATTGTATACTTTTATCTGATCCAATGCCATATCTGTTAAAAAAAATATTACAATTTATTGATGGTACGCAATCATTTATTTTTGTAACAATGACAAACTTAAAAAAAAAAGTTATTAGTCATCGAAGTTATCGTCACATTTTACCTTTTTATTAACAGCCAAATGAAACAGAAGATAAAATCGTTCCAATTATCACACAGCTAAATATAACGTTTTTACTTCGGTACAAAAAAAACTGTATTGACGTGAAACAAAAAATTTTTTTTTAATTGAATAAAAAAAAACGCTTGTATTGTAAAAGCGTAAAAAGGTACAAAAATTGATGAAAATTAGTACATAGTTTGTACAAAGTTTTCTCAAAGCCTTATTTATTTCTTTGAATTTTTATTCAATATGCTAATGTGAATAGATAGTACGAGAAAAGAGGCTTTCACTCATCACATCATGCTTTCTTTTTTTTCCACAAAAGCTATTATTTTTTTATTTTCGTGTCATGTAGTCAATTAAAATAATCACAGTGATACTAAAACTGATACGAGTGCCCCAAAAATGACGAGCCAAAGCTCTTAGCTCGCGGGGCATCGGCAGCCACAAATGCCACAAAATAGCCCGCGATGTCTCGACGTGGTTACTTTTCGTCCCGAGCGAGGGTATACACAAACAACCTTGACGCGGATAGGGTTTATAAATTTTTGGGTGCGTCCTAGAGGCTGCTACTATTGTCCTGAACATCGGTGCACCATATAAAATTTTCACGTGAACGAGATATTTAGTTAATCGCAAAGGTTGATGCTAGATCGTTGTCTCAGTCGTCCGGACCAATTATAAAGTATCAAAAGCCACCGACTGTAAGGAGAGAAAGACGGAATATCAAAAACCAGTGAACAGTGGGTGCTTGGGTACCCAAGTATGAAGTTATACTTCTATGAAATTTTATGGCAGATAATATAATTATAATATTTATATTAAATACACCTTACGTGAAATGATATTGTGTATAGTAAGGGGGTGCAATTATCGTTGGAATGAGTATACCTAAGTTAATTGGGTGTGATTTTAATTAATATTTTAATATTTCGTAAATGAACGATTATGAACAATAGATTACGACACAGCTTATGAGAAGTCTGCATCAATTTTTCAACATTATTTTTCCACTTAATTTTTTTAAAAATCGCAACACTTAACACATGTTCTTATGAGAAAGAGAAAGTTTTGCGATTAATAATCGGTTCACTATGGAGATGTGCTTGAATTATAAAAAAAAAAATTGTTTTTAGAAACAGCAGTTCAATTCAACCAAAGTTTCGTATAAGTCGTACCTTATAGTAAACGAACGAAATATGATTACATGAAAGATT